AGCATAGAGGAATTTTAGGGCAGTGAAACTACTCTGTAGCATACTATAATGATGGATGCATGTCATACAAAACCCTTAGCATATCCAACACCAGGAGTGAACCTAAATCTAAACTATGAACTTTGGGTGGTAATGATGTGCCAATGTGGCTTCATTGGTTGTAAAAAATGCACCATTCTGGTGAGGGATGTTGATAGTGGGAGAGGCTGCACCTGTGTGAGGGCTGGGGGGTATGTGGGAACTCTTTATAATTTCTGTTCAATTTCACTGTGAACCGAAGAGTGCTCTAAAAAATAAAATCTATTAAAAATAAATAAATAAAAGATCAAATAGGAAAAGACTGGAAACTGCTGGGTAACAGGGGACAGATAGCCTAGTTTTATAAATACTCAGCATATAATCCAAATTGTTTATGTATCATTAAATGATGTATTTTAGAGTGTTTGACGATGATAGTAATAATGGTGGTAGTAGTAATAGTTACCATTTATTTAGCACATACTGTGTGCCAGGTGCTGTGCTAAACACATTACATGCATTATCACCATTATCACATTTAATATAAGTAGATGCTTGAAACAGCAACTCTGGCATGTTGTTCTTAACACTATTGCCTATAGCAACAAATTATATATTCAATGTATCCCTTTAATATAAGTTTTATCCAGAAAAGATTTCTGACTTTTGTTAGAAGGGGCAACTAATAGCATTATTGGTTTGAATTACAACTTTCCTTAGAATATCAACCCTGGAACATGATTAATACAGACCAGTCTGAGTTACGCACCAGTCAAGAGTCCACAACTGTCAGTTTTTATTATTATTATTATTATTATTATTATTATTATTATTTGAGTCAGTCTTGCTCTGTCATCCAGGCTGGAGTGCAGTGGTGCGATCTTGGCTGACTGCAACCTCCGCCTCCCAGGTTCAAGTGATTTCTCCTGTGGCAGCCTCCAGAGTAGCTGAGATTATAGGCACCTGCCACCACACCTGGCTTTTTTTTTTTTTTTAATTTTTGTAGAGATAGGGTTTCACCATGTTGGCCAGGCTAGTCTTGAACTCCTAACCTCAAGTGATCTGCCCGCCTTGGCCTCCCAAAGTGCTAGGATTACAGGTGTGAGCCACCACGTCCAGCGTGACATGTTTATACCCATTCTCTGGATAGCAATAGAACCAGGCTCAGGGCTGATGATATCTGAGTATGTCTATTCCAAAGTTAAATAGATGGTGCCATTAGATGTAACCTGCTCTTCTCCTATGTATAACAGAGTAGATCATTTTTCCACAGTTCAAACTCTTTGAGCATGACATTTAAAGCTTTCTAGCATCTTCACGCATTTGGCCTCAGAGTCCTTTCTCCCTCCATGAACTCTTGGTGTTCCACTCACACAGGGCCAATATCCCATCTTAACACATGCCAAGCACTTTCACTTTTCTGTTGCTTTTGCTGGCAAACTCCTTGTCCTAAAGGTCCAACTGAAATACCACCTTATGCCTTTCTTATTTGTCTTCCACCTCCCACCCCCTACACACACCCACTTCATCTTTGCTTTTTATTCCCGCCCTACTTTGCTTTCATTTGACGTGCACTTCCTTGTCTCTTATATAAAATCTGCTTCCAAGACTGGTTTCTTCAGTGGATTGTAAGGTCTCTGAGTAATAACTGAGAGTAATAGCAACAGCTTATTAGCTGTCTTTTTTTTTTTTTTTAAAGAAAACAATTCTCTCATTCCCCTCTGAGCAGAAAAATAGCTCATTAAACATAGCAAGTATTCAAAAAATAGTGAAATACTTAACAGCTAGCCATATTTTGACAATAGCGAATTAGTGTGGTGAAGTAGTTGTTGCTAATTGTCAAATAAAATTTATTTGTAGTAAATTTTCAGTTACCCACATACCAATTTTCTATTGTTATTTTTACAACCTTGGCTGTTTCTTCTACTTTATAGCAAATGATTTGAAAAAAAACAAACTGATTTTAATACTTTAAGCAACATATAATGAGTGAGGTAATATATTCCTTAAAAAGCAATATGATACATTTTAAAACCCAACAAAAATTCAGACTATCTGCTTCATAGAAACATTTATTTATCCAACACATACTTTATTTTAATTAATTAATTTGTTTATTTAGAGATGGTGTCTTGCTCTGTTGCCTAGGCTGGAGTGCAGTGGCACGATCTCAGCTCACTGTAAGCTCTGCCTCCTGGGTTCAAGCAATTCTTCTGCCTCAGCCTCCTGAGTAGCTGGGGTTCCAGTCACCTGCCACCATGCCTGGCTAATTTTTGTATTTTGGGGAGAGACAGCGTTTCACTATATTGGCCAGGCTGGTCTCGAACTCCTGACCTCAAGTGATCCACCTGCCTCCACCTCCTCCTCCCAAAGTGCTGGAATTACAGGCATGAGCCACCACACCTGGCCCAACACATACTTTTTGAACACTCATCTTGCCTCCACTCACTCACTCACTCCTCTTACTGCCTTTCATGGCCACACTCCATCTGTTGGTTTCTACTGGGAACCTTAGCAACCTCTTCTTCAGCCTTCTGGTCATTTCTCTAATCTACCTCCTTCTCTTCACTCTCCGTTTTTCATTTAGACCCTCACCATCTGTGACCTGGCCTGTGACCCTGCGTCTAGTCCGTCTTCCATCCACCATCAATGTGTTCTGCATGATGTTGCTCGGGTTACCTTTCTAAAGTAGATATGATCTTGTTTAAACAACCTTTGAGGTTTAAGAACTCAGAGGAATCTATGCTCTGGGTTTCCTATTGTGCTCAAAGGCTAAAGTCCAAAAACTACAATCTGATTTTAGTCTAATTTCCCTAAATTTGTTTCCTGCTGCACCCTCGCAAGTACTAAGTTTCAGCCACCCTGAACCTCTCTGTTCCCTGAACATTCCTCTCTGCCTGAGTGTTTCCTCTCACTCCTTGAAATGTCCTCCCTCCTCTTCTCTATCTAATGAATTGCTACTCCTCTGTGAAGACTTCTCCAAGACCCACACAGAGTTCTCTGTCCTTTGAACTCTGTCTCTTGAACCCAAATCATAACTCTGTTCTGCCATTTGACTGTGACCTAGTTTCCCCTAATTAGACTTTGACTTGCTCAAGGACAGGAAAATGTCTTATTTATCTTTGGATCTTCAGGGCCTAGCTCAGTGTGCACTCTCTCTCTCTCTCTCTCTCTCTCTCTATATATATATATATACACACACACACACACACACACACTCTCTCTCTCTCCAGCCTAGGCAACACAGCAAGACACTATCTCTAAAAAAATAAATAAATAAAAAAAATAAAGTATGTGTTGGATAAATAAATGTTTCTATGAAGCAGATAGTCTGAATTTCTATTGGGTTTTAAAATGTATCATATTGCTTTTTAAGGAATATATTACCTCACTCATTATATGTTGCTTAAAGTATTAATATATATATTATATACACTATATATATGTACACTATACTATGTACACTATATATATACTATATACACCATACACACACACACACACACACACACACACATATATGTGGGTTTTTGCCATCTTGTGCAGGCTGGTCTTGAACTCCTGGCCTCAAGTGATCCTCTCAAAGTGCCAGGATAATAGGCATGAGTCCCCCGTGCCTGGCCTCCAGGTCCTTTCTTTTCTTTTTCTTAAAAACCCCAAGTAGGCCGGGCGCAGTGGCTCAAGCCTGTAATCCCAGCACTTTGGGAGGCCGAGACGGGCGGATCACGAGGTCAGGAGATCGAGACCATCCTGGCTAACACGGTGAAACCCCGTCTCTACTAAAAAAATACAAAAAACTAGCTGGGCGAGGTGGCGGGCGCCTGTAGTCCCAGCTACTCGGGAGGCTGAGGCAGGAGAATGGCCGGAACCCGGGAGGCGGAGCTTGCAGTGAGCTGAGACCCGGCCACAGCACTCCAGCCTGGGCGACAGAGCAAGACTCCGTCTCAAAAAAAAAAAAAAAAAAAAAATCCCAAGTAGCTGGGATTAGAGGCATGTGCCACCACGCTCGGCTAATTTTTGTATTTTTAGTAGAGACAGGGTTTCACCATGTTGGCCAGGCTGGTCTCGAACTCCTGGCCTCAAGTGATCTGCCTGCTTTGGCCTCCCAAATTGCTGGGAATACAGGCATGAGCCACCGCGCCCGACCTCATTCAATATTTTGAATGTACAACTCAATGTGCTCTTAAGATAGAATTTGAAACTAAGATATGGTAAACACATTATCTGGCATTTTAAGAAATAACCACGGTACAGAAAGAGTTTACAAATGAATTCTGAAGATAATTTTCAAGCCTCATTTTCACACTTAGCTTTAAATGCCTCCATTCTTTCATTCCCCTCTTGTGTGGGTCCTCATAAGCTTTGAGAGAAGACTGAAAAGGAAAAAGTAGCCCCAAAAAAGAGAAAGGACCTAGACAAGAAGTATCTGAGCAACCAAGAGTAAAATATGCTAAATGACTTGAAAGTGATTACCTTAAAGTCATTCCATATTATGAAAGTTTGGTTTCCCAGTTAGATTCCAGGATATTTGATGTAGTTATTCTGTTTATGATTTTTGGGCAGTATGCTTGGCAAGCTAGCTACTGATTCAATGACTGTTTCAGCTTTTTGTTCTGGGTAATACCTCTCACTAAGCTTTAATGATGGGCTAAAACTGGCAAGAAAAATGAGGCAATTTTAAGATCTAGTGCCTTAGGAAAGAAAAGGTAGCGACAAACAAAATCCTCTATTGATGTTCTGCTCTGTATTTATTATGATAACAGTTATTTTCTTCTGTTTTGGAAAGTGTTGATTTTTGATTAGTATAATTTTCAGTCAAGATTCAGTTGGATCTTTTTTTAACTTTGAACCTAACTGATACTGTTGCTGGCATGCGTAAGACACTAAATAATTATTTTAGGTAATTCAACATTGACTTAATGTTTAGATATAATTAATCAGAAATGTTAAAGCAAGCTTGACATCTACATTTTAAATTTCAGTTGTTGCCACCTTCTCCCTTTCATGGTTCCATCAGCCGCCTTCATCAAATCAAACAGGTAAGAAGACTTTCCAAACTGACAACTGGTCATTTAAAAAAGTAAATTTTATTTTTCTTTGTGAAAATACCTATGTTTCAGTAATTCTAAGTGAGGTCACATGTAATTAAGTTTTTATTTCTAGGAATGATTTCTTTAAAAAAAGACAAAACAAACTAAGAAGCCCTTTATTTGGCTTATTAACTGTTTTAATTAATAATTTCTGGAAATACTACATACTCTTATACCTTGAGTCTAGCTTCGTTCTTCCAGGGATCTGAAAGTGGAATGTTATACACAAAAATTAATTTTCAGCTTCATAATAACTGTAGTTATCATTATTTTTTTAACCCTCAGATGAGTTTTTTGACAGATAAAATGGGCTTCATGCTATTGTTTTGTGTTAACTTCTTAGTGATCTGAGTTCAGGGACACATTGTACCTCACTGGTTTATATTTTGTGCCCGTGTACACGCATGCGCATCTCTGTGTGCGTGTGTGTTTGTGTTTGTGTGTGTGGTTGGGAGGGTGTATGAGGGTGGGTGGGTGTGCACTCATGTGCACATGCATGCTTAATAGCACAAGCATAATACAGAATTCAACCGTTTAATTATCCAAGGATTAGCCACAGAACTCAAAAGATCAAATCACCACTATGCCACAGGTGGTATTTTTTTTTTGACCCAGTTACAAGCAGACATTTTTCCCCCCAAGAGAGGCTTATTATTCACTTAGCACTAATAGGTACTTTCCATTTGTGGTCTCATTTTATCTTGCAACAACTTTATAAGGTCAGAAACTAAAAAGGGGAGAAATTTAGCAATTTACCCAATGTCCAGAGTTGGTGAATGTCAGAGCCAAGATTTGGCCCCAAATTACTGGATTATTTTCCAGCTCCCCTTTCCCTGTTTCAGTGCACAAAGCCCATAATACCGTCTTGTAATCCTAGTTGTTAGTCCTCCAACTCTTGCTTCCTTTCCCTCTCTCCCTTCCACCCCTGTGGCATGGCTTCCCTAAGGTCAGCTTATCCACTAGCAGGAAAGTATGGTAAAAACGGTTTTTTTCCTTTTTTTTTTTTTTTTTTTTTTTTGAGACAGAGTTTTGCTCTGTTGCACAGACTGGAGTGCAGTGGCTCCATCTTGGCTCACTGCAACCTCCACCTCCCGGGTTCAAGTGATTCTCCTGCCTAAGCCTCCCGAGTAGCTGGGATTACAGGCGCCTGCCACCAGGCCCGGCTAATTTTTGTATTTTTAGTAAAGACAGGGTTTCATCATGTTGGCCAGACTGGTCTCAAACTCCTGACCTCAGGTGATCTGACCACCTCCGCCTCCCAAATTGCAGGGATTACAGGTGTGAGCCACCGTGCCAGGCCTTTTTTTTACTTTTTAGTAGGTGAAAGTTGCTTTTACTCCTGTCTTTGTATGTAGCTATTTTAGAAATTCTTAAGGAATGAAACAAGTTCAAAGAAGTAGTAAAGCGACCTCTGGTTTATCTGTGCAATATGTTTCTTTGCTTTTCCTAAATCAAACCAAATATTTGAAAATGGGTTACGTGTTGCTATTTGCTGACGAAGCTTGATATAAATACTAATTTACATTGGTTAGGAATATAAGTTTAATGCAGTTTATTTCCATAGTAACATAATATATATTATAAACATTTAAAAATGAAATATAAGTAGAAAATGAATGAGATGGGAAAACAGAAAAACATTAATTTTCAATCTGGATACTGATTGAATGGAAAATTAAGACTTATTTTCAGCAGTTTAATGGTCTGATAGATATCTTAAGTTGCATATTTCTTTTTTTTTCTTTTTTTTTTTGAGACGGAGTCTTACTCTGTCGCGTAGGTGGGAGTGCAGTGGCACTATCTCAGCTCACTACAATCTCCACCTCCTGGGTTCAAGGGATTCTCCTGCCTCAGCCTCCCGAGTAGCTGGGATCACAGGTGCATGCCACCACACCTGGCTAATTTTTTTGTATTTTTAGTAGAGATGGGATTTCACCATGTTGGTCAGGCTGGTCTCGAACTCCTGACCTCAAGTGATCTGCCCACCTCAGCCTCCAGCCTCCCAAAGTACTGGGATTACAGGGGTGAGCCACTGTGCCTGGCATAGGTTGCATATTTCTTTACATGCATTCTTTGACTGACTTCTTTGTCCCTATTAAACTTAACCCTTTAAGTGCAAAACGGAAATGTGTGGTTCTCTCCCCATTACCTTCTGAACTTTCACTTTAACAACATTAATAAGGGCATTGATTTTCTCAAAACGGGGGGAATAATATTGGCTATCTCATAGAATCATTTTGAGGATGAAAAGAATTAAAACTGACCCTTCAACAACCTGGGTTTTTAAAAAGTAATTAATTTAATTTTTATGGGTGCCACGGGGTACATGAGATACTTTGATATAGGCATGCAACATGTAATAATCACATCAGGGTAAATGGAGTATCCATCCCTTCAAGCATTTATCCTTTGTGTTACAAACAATTCAACTATACTTTTAGTTATGTTTAAATGTACAATTAAATTATTATTGACTAGAGTCACCCTGTTGTGCTAGCAAATACTGAGTCTTACTTGTTCTTTCTAACTATATTTTTGTACCCATTAACCATCCCACTTCCTTGCCACCCCTCATTTACCCTTCCCAGCCTTGTAACCATCCTTCTAATCTCTATCTCCATGAGTTCAAGTGTTTTAATTTTTACCTCCCACAAATAAGCAAGAACATGAGGCTGGGCGCGGTGGCTCACGCCTGTAATTCCAGCACTTTGGGAGGCTGAGGGGGGCAGATCACTTGAGGTCAGGAGTTCAAGACCAGCCTGGCCAACATGGTGAAACCCGTCTCTACTAAAAATACAAAAATTAGCCATGTGTGGTGGTGGGCGCCTGTCATCTCAGCTATTCAGGAGGCTGAGACTAGAGAATCACTTGAACCTGGCAGGTGGAGGTTGCAGTGAGCTGAGATCACGCCACTGCACTCCAGCCTAGGTGACAGAGTGAGACTCCGTCTCAAAAAAAAGAAAAAAGAAGATAAGTTAAAACATGAAATGTTTGTCTTTCTGTGCCTGGCTTATTTCACTTAACATAATGACCTCCAGTTTCATCCATGTTGCTGCAAATGACTGGATCTCTTTTTTTTTTTTTTTTTTTTTTGAGACAGTCTCGTTCTATCACCCAGGCTGGAGTACAGTGGCGCCATCTCAACTCACTGCAACCTCTGCCTCCTAGGTTCAAGTGATTCTCCTGCCTCAGCCTCCTGAGTAGCTGGGATTATAGGCCCACGCCACTGCGACAGACTAATTTTTGTATTTTTTGTAGAGACAGGGTTTTGCCATGTTGCCCAGGCTGGTCTCAAACTCCTGACCTCAGGTGATCCTGCCTGCCTCGGTCTCCCAAAGTGCTGGGATTATAGGTGTGAGCCACCGTGCCCAGCCTGGATCTCATTCTTTTTATGGCTGAATAGTACTCCACTGTATATGTACCACATTTTCTTTATCCATTCATCTGTTGATGAACACTTAGGCTGCTTCCAAATCTTAGCTATTGTAAACAGTGCTGCAATAAACATGGGAGTGTAGATATTTCTTCCATATACTGATTTCCTTTTTGGTGAGTGATATACCTTGGAGTGAGATTGCTGGATCATATGGTAACTCTATTTTTCATTTTTTGAGGAACTTCCAAACTTGAACAACATGGATTTGAATGGCGTGGGTGCACTTATACACAGATAATGGAGATCAAAAATACAGTATTGTTGTGATGTGAAACCCTCCTATATGTATGACTGACTTTTTGTATCCTTGGGTTCCAGAAGGCCCCCTGTGGACTTGAGGATGTGTGGATTTTGGTATATGCTGGGGGGTGGCGGGGTGAGGGGTGGTGCTGGAACCAATTCCCTACATATACCAAGGGACGACTGTAAGTAATTATGCGTAGTGCCAAGAGTACTGCATTAAAAAAATCTTTTTAAATGGAAAATTTAAAACATAGAATGTAGAATCTCCATATACCTAACACACAGCTTTAACAATTATCCACATTTTGTATATCCTTTTTCATCTATCTGCTTCTCTTTTAGGGGTGGGAGAGAGTGCTTTAAAGTAAATTTCTGACATATCTTTTTACCCAAGTTTATGGGCATGAGAAGGACTTTTTTTCCCCATAATCACAATGCCATAATTATGCGTAACAAATTATCTTATTCCTTAATGTCATCTAAATCCACGTTATATTTTTCCTAATTCTCAAAAATGCATTTTTAACTGATCCAAACAATCCAAATATGACATTTAGTTGATATATATTGATATATATCTCTTAGATCTCTTTTATTTAAAAAAGCATTTTTTATTTTATTTTATTTTATTTTACTTAAGTTTCAAGATACATGGGCAGAATGTGCAGGTTTGTTACATAGGTATACGTGTGCCATGGTGGTTTGCTGCACCTATTGATCTGTCATCTAGGTTCCCTCCCCTCGCCGCCTCCCCCCCAACAGGCCCTGATGTGTGTTGTTCCCCTCCCTGTGTCCATGTGTTCTCATTGTTCAACTCCCACTTATGAGTGAGAACATGCAGTGTTTGGTTTTCTGTTCCTGTGTTAGTTTGCTGAGGATGATGGCTTCCAGCTTCATCCATGTCCCTGAAAAGGATATGCTCTCATTCCTTTTTATGGCTGCATAGTATTCCATGGTGTATATGTACCAAATTTTCTTTCTCCAGTCTATCATTGATGGGCATTCAGGTTGGTTCCATGTCTTTGCTATTGTAAATAGTGCTGCAGTAAGCATGCATGTGCATGTGTCTATAGTAGAATGATTTATATTCCTTTGGGTATATACTCAGTAATGGGATTTCTGGGTCAAATGATATTTCTGGTTCTAGATCCTTGAGGAATTGCCACACCGTCTTCCACAATGGTTGAACTAATTTGCATTCCCACCAACAGTATAAAAGCGTTCCTATTTCTCCACAGCCTTGCCAGCATCTATTGTTTCTTGACTTTTT